GAAAGGGGCACTGCCTTCTGTTCCCTGTTTTGATTTTCTTACAGTACCATCATCGTAATAAACTACTCTTCTCTACCCAGCGATGGGTTTTCCAACATATTTTAATCAAAGGAACTGAGTACATTACTCTGATGTCTCAGTGGATCAGAGATCTGAGACCAGCTTGCTAGCATCTCTCTCTCATCAGCAGAAGGAACTAAACAGTTGAAGTTCTGAATTCATTCTTTCCTAACTTTGGAAATTATCTACAATGGAACCTTCCCTCCATTCTCTGATAACTGGCTTGCTTAATGACTTCAGATAAAGAATAAGCCAATTCACCTTCTTGCCTATGGGAAGAGCTTTAAAGGCCTGGCAAGCTCAACCACATGCTGTTTATTTAGCATCAGTTGTCACCAGCACTCCAGAGCAGGGGGGCCTGGAGGGAAAAGAAAAGGCTTGCTGGACTAATAGCTCTTCAGAAATTTCCAAAGCCAATGAAGGACTCTGAAATTCAGACTGTGTACAGTGATATAATGAAGAAAATGAATGTTATTCTGCCCTGCTTTTAAAAATATGATCAAATAAATAAAGTTTAATGTCACATGATTTCTACCATAAAAACATGTGATAGCTTTCTTCCCTCAGTTTCTATATGGACTGCTTATAGCTTTATGTTTCTGTGTTTTAAAAGGGCCGGCCACGTCTCCTTAATGCAGAACAAAAAATGTTAATTTCTTTGGTTTTTCTTTTCCTCACTTCTAGTACCATTCTCTCTATACACACACACACACACACATGTGTATGTGTGTGTGTGTATTTCTTTTTAGAGAGAGAGGAAGGAAGAGGGAGAGAGAGAAACATCAATGTGAGAGTGAAAAATCAATCAGCTGCCTCCTACATGCCCCTACTGGAGAGATGGAGCCCAAAACCTGGGCATGTGCTCTGACCAGGAGTCAAACGGGCAACCTTTTGGTGTACAGAATGACACCCAGTCAGGGCTAGTACCATTCTTTTCAGTTGACTACCAGTTCAGCCACTTAAACTGCGATAGACCTAATCAAGTGTTCTATGTCTTTTTTATTTAATAGATATATTTAGAAATCTCAACTTCAGGAATATTTTTCTCAAGCACATATGGAACATTTATAAATATAAATACCAACGAAGTATCGTATGGACTATATAGTATGTCGGTAGCATAATTAAAGAACCATAAAAACTTGGAGGAAAGAAACTGACAAATGGTGCCAGGGAAATTGGATATCCATATGCAAAAGAATGAAGTTAGGCTCTTAACCTGACACCATACAGAAGTTAACTCAAAACAGATGAACTGTCTGCATGTAAGACCTGAAACAACATTCCAGAGAAAACAGAACAAAAGCTTCATGATTCAGATTTGGCGATAACTTCTTGGATATGACACCAAAAGGAAAAACAGACAAATCCATTCTCTGCCTCCTTAATCTACCACCAATTCATTTCCTGTAACCCTCCTTATAGCTTCTTCTTTGAGTCTAATGTATAAAATAAGACCCAAAACTGCCATCCTCCAGTGCATTTACTCAGTCCATTGAGATTTTGCTTACTGGCATGTCCTCAAAATTTGGCTCAAATAAACTCTTATAAGACTTTTCTATAGCTTTCTTCCCGTCAAGATGGCGGGTAGGTAAACGCGGTATCACCTTTTCCCACAACCACATCAAAGTTACAACTAAACTACAGAACAACCATCCTTCAGAACTGCCTGAAATCAAGCTGAATGGAAGTCCTACGACTACGGAATTAAAGCAGCAGCCACATCGAGACTGGTAGGAGGGACGGGGGAGCGGATGGCCTGGTCCCACACCCATGTGTGGCAGATAAAAATCAGGAGGACACATCGGCTGGGAAGGTCCTCCCTGAGGAGTGAGGGGTCCCCGACCCACACCAAGGTCCCAGCTCAGGGTTCCAGTGCCAGGAAGAAAAGTCCCCATAACTTCTGGCTATAAAACCAGCGGGAACTGAGGCTGAGGAAGGCTGAGGCTGCTGGAGGCCCAGGCAGCTCCTCTTAAAGGGCCCGCGCACGAACTTAACTTGGACTCGCTCCTTCTGAGCTCCAGCATGGAGGGGAGGCAGGTTGAAAGGCATCCGAGACATACAGGAAAGAACTGAGTTGTTTGGCATTGGGGCGAGGACTGGAGAGGCAGCTTTCTCCTGGACAGATGTGCTAGTGGAGGCCTTTGTTCCTTTGGTGAGCCCTCCCCCCACAGGGCAGGCAGGCAGCAGTCATATCTGGGACTCCAGCAACCTGGCTCACACTGTTTGCCCCGCCCTGGTGATTCCCTGAGGCCCCGCCCCACCCAGCTTTCAAGCCCACCCAAGCTATTTCTAGTGGCTTTACCATAGAATTGGCCTGTTTGGGCTCCTGCTTCAGATTTTCCTAAATTCTCTCAAACAAGCAGCAATTGGTCTGTGAGCTCCATACCTCTCACTAAGTGGCCCCAGGCCCCAAGGCTGGAAGCAGCCCGCCTTGGTTCACAGCTTGGCTTTGCTTGGGCACCACCAAGCCCAGCACAAGCAGCAGCCATCAGCAGATCGCTTTGTAGCTTATGCCTGGTGGCCCTGGGTATTACACAGTCAGTGGCTGACCTTGCCCCAGAGCCAGTACACCCAGTTATTAGCTTCAGACCATGTTGAAGCACCACCACCCAACCATCTCCACAAGTGACATACTCAAGGAATGGACTCAGTGGGTACCAGAGCACTGCTGAAGTAAGTCTTGCTCTGTGCGCTGGGCGCCTGCACAGCTGATCATCCAAGGTAGTCAGAGGTCGGTGATTAGTAGACACAGCCAGTCCTTGCAGCTGATTAGCCTGAGTAAGCCCTCCCAAAGACATGCCAACAGCAAGACTCAATTACAACAGAAGGGTGTAAAGTTCACACGAGGGGTGCACCTCGAGGGCCAGCTGGGTGATCAGGGAGGCTGTACCACTGGACTCTATAGGACACATACTACAATAGGAAGCCTAGGAGACATAGCAACTCTACCTAATACATAGAAATAAACACAGGGAGGTAGCCAAAATGAGGAGACAAAGAAATGTCCCAAATGAAAGAACAGAACAAAACTCCAGGAAAAGAACTAAATGGAGATAAGCAATCTAACAGATGCAGAGTTCAAAACACTGCTTATAAAGATATTCAATGAACTTAGTGAGGGCCTCAAGAGCATAATAAAGAACCAGTCAGAAATGAAGGATGCACTAACTGAAATAAAGAATAATTTACAGGGAATCAATAGTACAGTAGGTGAAGCCAAGAAGCAAACCATTGATTTGGAATATAAGGAGGCAAAAAACATCCAATTAGAACAGCAAAAAGAAAAAAGAATCTAAAAAGAATGAGGATAGTATAAGGAGCCTGTGGGACAACTTCAAACATACCAACATTTGCATCATGGGAGTGCCAGAAGGAAAAGAGAGAGAACAAGAAATTGAAAACCTATTTGAAAAAATAATGACAGAAAACTTCCCTAACTTGGTGGAGGAAACAGACATACAAGTCCAGGAAGCACAGAGAGTTCCAAATAAGATGAACCTAAGAGGTCCACACCAAGACACATCATCATCAAAATGCCAAAGGTGCCCTGGCCGGTTTGGCTCAGCAGTTAGAGCGTCAGCCTGCAGTCTAGAGAGACCCGGGTTCGGTTCCCGGGTACCTCGGTTGCAGTTTGTCCCCAGCCCTGGTTGGTCTTGCGGGTGGCAGCCACTTGATGTGTCCCTTTCACATCGATGTTTCTCTCTCTCTCTCTCTCTCTCCCCTTCCACTCTATCTGAACAAAAAATAGAAAAATGTCCTCAGGTGAGGATAAAAAAAAAAAAAAATAGGACAATAGCCCTGGCCGGTTTGGCTCATTCAGCCTGTGGACCGCAGAGGCCCCGGTTCGGTTCCTGCTAAGGGCACGTACCTCGGTTGCAGTTTGTCCCCTGCCCCAGTTGGGGTCGTGTGGGTGGCAACCAGTTGATGTGTCTCTCTCATATCAATGTTTCTCCCTCTCTCCCACCTGCTCTATCTGAAGATAAATGCAAAAAAACCCAACAACAATAAAATGGCAAAAAATATATATCTATCAACAAATGAATCTACAAACAAAATGAGCAAGCAGAAGAGAAACAGACTCATAGATACAGAGAACATTTTGTTGGTTGCCAGATGGGAGGGGGTTGGGTGAAAAAGATGAAGGGATACTGATGAACCTCAAAGGGAAGGGGGGAGGTGGGGTGGGAAGAGAGAAACCAAAGAACTTGTGTGCGTATATGCATAACCAAGGGACACTGACAATAGTGTGGAGAAAGCAGGAGTGGGGGTGGGATCAGAAAGGAAGGGGTCAAGTGGGGGGGGGGCTTCTGTAATACATTCAACAATAAAGATAAGTTAAAAAATAAAAAAAGAACTTTTCTATAAAAGCCATTCTTATATCGACATTATTAATATCTGCCTTCCTACACCTCCCAGACTCTAAACCTATAAAGACAGAAACTTAATTCTTGTTCATCTTTACAGTCCTAGCATCTCACTTTCCTTGGCAATGAAACGGTGTGGGATTAAGAAGTACATATTGGTTGTTAGATTGATGAACCTCAGAGAGAAGGGGGAGAGGGAGAGAAATAAACCAAATAACTTATACCAAATAACTTATATGCCTAACTAATGGACAAAGACCACAGTGTGGGGAAGGCAGAAAGGGAGCGGGAGCAGGGAGGAGGGGGATCAATAGGAGGAAAAAGTGGGGACAGCTGTAATACTTTCAACAAGAAAGATACATTTAAAAAAAAAAACAAACAGCCCTGAAGGTGTATGGAAGAACTGGCCTGAAGTAACAAACGCGGAGAGGCGGGGGGCGGGGCCGGCGGGGTGGGGCGGGGCGGGGCCGGCGGGGCGGGGCGGGGCCGGCGGGGGACGTCGCTGTTGCTTCAGAGGCCCGCCCCAAAGGCGGGGCCATGCCCACCTGGTGGTCACGTGGGACTCAGCTGGGCCTCCGCCTGTCAGCTGAGCGAAGATGGCGGTCGCGAGGAGTGCGGTGCGGCAGAGACTGTTGGGCTTGGCGTCTGTCAAGGCTGTAAGTGCCACGGCCGGAGGAGCGGCCACACAGCACCGTGAGGCTGGGGGTCGGGAACTTGGCTCGTGTCGGCTCCACTCCGAGAGGAAGCCAGAGAGCTTCTCAGGCCCGAGTCAGGTGGACCTTCAAGTCTGAGACTCTCCACGTACCCCACATCCCGTGAGGGGTATAGGGGAAACGGAGGCCCAGAGAGGGGGAGCGACTTGCCCAGGTCGTCCTAGGTGTCCTCGTTCCCTGATCAAGACTTCCCGGTGACCCTGGCACCTTTCTCCCTCTAGTTGAGAGCTTCCGACCTCCCCAAGCTCTTGCTTAGTGAAAAATCAAGAATACTCCTCCAGTTCCGAGTAGGAAAAGCAAGGTCATTCCCCTCCCTTCAGCTAAATGCTAAACAGTTAGGCAGCTGGAAATAAGTCTGGGCTTCGGGAAGTTGGAAATGGGCCTGTACTGGGAGCATGACTCTTGTTTATTCCTGTTTCTAAGTGAAATATTATTTCTGCTCTTAATTCCGAAACAGACCAAATGTGAACTAAATGGTGAGAAATTTGCTTCTGGTCTCAGTATTAGTGAAGATGGATCCAGTCCTTCAGATTTGCTCCCCTGGGGAACTTTCTTTCCCCACATTTCATGGAGTTCATTTAGTTTCATCATGCAATATGTACGGTTAGTCACACAGGGAGAAAGGAACAAAAGAGGAGTGCCAGTTAGGGGATTACATTTGTTCAAGTATTACAATAATGATTTCCAAGCCCTGGCCGGGTAGCTCAGTTGGTTAGATCGTCCTTCTGATATGCCAAGGTTGCAGGGCAGGTTCCACGGGTCAGGGCACATTCAGAAATCAACCAACAAATGCATGAATGGGTGGAGCAAGAAACTGATCTCTCTCTCTCTCTCTCTCTCTCTCTCTCTCTCTCCTCTCCTTCCCTCCCTTCCTCTCTCTCTCTAAATATCAATTTTAAAAAAATTAAATATAAATAAGTAATGAGTTCCACAGCGTACCCAAAAAAGTACAGCCACGGGGAAAGGGCGGGGGCGGGGAGGATCAGTGGGGGAAAAAGGAGAAACATCTGTAACAAAAATTAATCAATAAAAAAATAAATAAATAAAATAAGTAATACCAAAAAAAAAAAAAAAGTACAGCCAAACGGCACTCTAGTATATTGCACAGCAAGCCTCATTAGTCACTGTGGGAAAAGCAAAGTGCTTTAATTCCTTCAGAACTGTCCAGAAGACATGGGGTGATGGAGCAGTTGCAAGTGCCTTTGTGTAGGATGTTATTGTTAACCCATCCAGAACATTTTCTTTGTTGGTCATGTAACCCTTCCCAACTAAGATACTGTATTCGTTTCCTATGGCTGCTATAGCAAATTCTTACAAACTTGGTGGCTTAAAACAACATTCATTTTTTACCCCCACAATTCTGGAGGTCAGAAGTCCAAAGTCATTTTCTCTGGTTTTAGAGGAGAATCCATTCCTTGTCCTTGCAGTTTCTGGGCACTGTCAGTATTTCCATGGCTGGGGCTGCATCACTCCAGTCTCAGCCTCCATGGTCACACTGCCGCCTCTGCTGTGTGTGTGTGTGTGTGTGTGTGTGTGTGTGTGTACCCCCTGGGGAATTGTGACACTATTTTTGTTACATTTTGTTTCTTCTTTTAAACCAAAGGTCAACACCTCATCAATGAGTACTTTCCCAAAGCAGGTGAAAATTGTGGAAGTTGGTCCCCGAGATGGACTACAAAATGAAAAGGTGAATTATTTTTGAGCATTGAGAATTCATGTGGTAGGTGCCGCAGGGATGGACACAGCTATGCAAGACATGATCACTCTGTCTAACTTAGGGCATGGTTGGGGAGGACAGTCAGGCTCCTGTGACAGTTAAGCAATCTAAGATGGTGCTACAACAGGTGTGGTATTCCCAGGTCTATTTCAAGGCCCAGTGGGGTGCGGCGGATGATGAGTGCTATGGGAGTTCAGGGTGAAGGTGAGGGTATGCCTTCAGATCTAGCAGATTAAGGGGATTTATCAGAAGGAAGACATGAAGACCACAATGTAAAGATTTAGCCTTGGGGATATTCTTTACAACCTGCAGAAAATTGAAATAGTCTGCCCAATAGAACTTTCTGTGAAGATGGAAATGTTCTAGACTTGAGCTGTCCCATGTGGTAGCCACTAGACAGACACATGTGGCTACTGAGCATTTGAAATGTGACTAGTGTGGCTGAGGAAATGCACTTTTATTTTCATGTCATTTTAATTTAAATTTATATAACCACGTATGGCTAGAATCTAACATATTAGACTGCACAGATCTAGAAAGTTACATATCTGGGAGGTGTTAAGGGTGGTTTTCTTTTGTTTTTGGCATGTGTCTCAGAAATAATTATGTATTAATTATTTTTTCACTAAGAAAGCTAGATTTTTTTAAAAAGCATGACCAGCCTAATTTTAATATTGGGCACTTGTTGGAAACAATAAACCATGAGCTCCATGGGGGCAGAATCATGTCTGTTCTGCTCATTGTTGTGCGCCCTAGCACCTAACACAATCCCTGGAACATGGAAGGCTCTCAAAAATTGTCTGTGGAATAGATTATATTACAGCAGTGCAAGATAAATTGTAGGGGAGGCTTTGGATTTTTTTTTACTTGATCCTAAAGGTACTAGGGAGCCATGGAAGGCTTTTGAGCAGTAGAGTGGGACATGGAAACTGTTTAAGGAGGACTCTTGTGGAATGAACTGGTGGAGTGAGACCATGCCATAATATACATGGGATGATGATATTAGATTTGGAAAGAGGAATCCATAGAATCTGCTTAGCAACTAGACGTGGTAGGGGGAGGGAGAGAAACAATGGGCTGGCCACATGAGGAGGCAATCCTGTGCCATTCAGGTGATGGAATAGTTTGGGGCCTCATTTCATAAGACCCAGAGGGTTAGTCATCTCTGCCCTTTCAGGCCATGGTACATTGCTCTCAATTTGTTTATGATGGGGCAATAAATTAACAAACATTTAGTTAAGAAAAAGCCTGTATGGCAGAAAATACTATTTCCATATAAGTATTAACTCCCTTTCAGATGATAAGCTGCCTGCACTGCAAAACACCATCTGTAGAACTTGAAGATGCTTTGTACCCTGTTGGCGATAATTGCATGTGAATTCATGTTAGTGTTTGAAAATTGAGATAGTGAACTGTGTGCTGCAGCAAAAGCTTTGAACTAACAGGCACTGCTTTCTGAGGCCATTTTCTTCCCAGTTTGCTGACCTGTCTTTTCTGGTGTTTGTCTCTCCATGACAGAATATCGTACCTACTCCAGTGAAAATCAGGATGATAGACATGCTTTCTGAAGCAGGACTCCCCGTTATCGAAGCCACCAGCTTTGTGTCCCCCAAGTGGGTTCCTCAGGTGAGCCCCTGCCCTCAGTGAGAGGTGTTTTCAGATGAGAGGGATGGAAAGGTTTGCTTTTTCCCTGCAAGTAACTAGAAGTCAGGAACATAGATTTTCCGAGTCTCTGGCTTTCAGAGGTCTTGGGGGATTCATAGCAGCGTGGTGCAACAACACAATGTAAGCTGAGGGGCAGGAGGCTTGGATTCAGTCTGGGCTCTGCCCCTGAATTTCTTGGTGACCTTGCTAAGTCCATCCCCTCTCCAGATTGAAGGTGACCTCTTCTGGCTCTGAAAATCTAGAATCTCTAGGTCTGGCCTGTGGTTTCTGTGTTTGTAAAAGGGCAAGACTGATGATGCCTGCTTCACAGAGACAGTCAAGTGGGGAAGAAAGATCCTGTTCCAACTGAGTGTTAGATCACATGGAGGAGCTGAGCCCGGTGCCTGGTTTGGAGTGTGTTCTCGGTACATGGCTGGTAGTATTGTTACTGCTGTTACTGCTATGTAAAGTTGACAGTATTAGCCATGTGGAGAAACTGGGGTTATCGGCTGCACCCAGGGGACCTTCTGGTCCATCAGCCATCAAACAAATAGTGAAAGCATTGGGGAGACTCAGCTCTGCAGAAGGACTCATTCTCCAAAGGTCTGGAGAACAGAGATCTTATGATACAACTGTTTTCTCCTCCTGAGCATTTTGCCTGCCCTTGGTGATGACTCCCCAATGTCTCCTTTGGTTCCAGATGGCTGACCACACTGAAGTCTTGAAGGGTATCCAGAAGTTTCCTGGTATCAGCTACTCAGTCCTGACCCCAAATTTGAAAGGCTACCAGGCAGCGGTAAGCTTATTGGTGGGGCCCTTGAAATGAGATTGATGGCACTGTCCCTGCCTTGTCCCTGGGCCTCAGTCCGTGTCTCAGCATGCCTATCTGAAGGGCTGTCTCCAGTGGACGAGCAGTCAGACAGACCGAGGGCAGTCCTGGCCTTGCCATTCCCAGCTCTCTGGTCTTGACAGGCCTCAGGTTCTGCCTATAAAATAGGGCTAGTGATAGGGTAACACTGTGAGGATCTCAGAAGATAAAAACGCACATAAGTTGCTTAGTGAGAGCCTGGTGGAAGATAATTGCTTGATAAATGGTAGTGGCTGTGGTTCTTACCCATTTCCTCCTTAGAGAAAGGTGAGCAAGCTCTCCACAGAGTTTCAGCAGGAGGTGCTATTGTCTGCCAACTTCTTTAAACTACTAGATGAGAGTCTGGTCGGTGTGGCTCAGTGGTTGAACGTCAGCTCATGCACCAGGAGGTCGCTGGTTCGATTCCCAGTCAGAGCACATGCCCTGGCTGTGGACCCAGTCCCCAGTGGGGGGCATGCAGGAGGTGGCCAGTCGATGTTCTCTCTCATCGATGTTTCTCTCTCTCTCTCCCTCTCTCCCTTCCTCTCTCTCTAAAATCAATAAAGGAGAAAAAATTTTAGATGAAAACATCATTAGAGATACTAATTCTAAATTGAGGCATAAAGCTTCTAGGAGTGACTGACTTCCAGGGTGGTGACAGCAATGGCAGTGTTTGTCCCTGGGGGAAGGCCAAGGTTTCTTTCTCACGAAATATATTTCACTATATTCATTTTCCAGGGTTTCCATAACAAAATACCAAAAACTGGGTGGCTGAAAACCACAGAAACGCATCCTCTCACAGTGCTGGAGGCTAGAAGTCTGAAATCAAGGTGTCAGCAGGGTTGGTTCCATCCAAGGGCCCTGGGGTGAATCTGTGCCATGCTTCTCTCCTAGTGTCTGATGACAGCTAGCAATCATTGACATTCCTTGGCTTCTGGGTCCATCGCTCTCATCTCTGCCTCCATCTTTATGGGCCTTCCTCTCGTGTCTGTCTGTCTGTCTTCACTTGGCTGCTGTCTTATAAGGACACTAGTCGTATTAGAGAGGAACCAATATGGCCTCATCTTAATAAATTGTTATCTACAGTGAACATTTTTCCAAATAAGAACACATTTTGAGGTGCTGGAGATTAGGACTTCAACCTATCTTTTTTGGGGGAACACAATTCAACCTATGACATTAACTTGTCATAAAATTCACTGTAAGATGGTTTTTGCCACTCTGGCGTTCCTTGAAGAGAAAAATGCTAAGAGGAATCCCTTTGGCTGTTGGCAGGTTGCTGCTGGAGCCAAGGAAGTGAGCATCTTTGGAGCTGCCTCCGAGCTCTTCACACAGAAGAACATCAACTGCTCCATAGATGAAAGTTTTCAGCGGTTTGACCAAATCTTGAAGGCAGCTCGGGCCGCCAGCATCTCTGTGCGGGGGTGAGTCAGACCACGTCGGTGCTGGTTGTCTTTCCTCAGTACCATCTGGCCACTGGCAGACTCTAACCCCAGTGACCCCCGCCCCTCAAACGCCTCATCCTTCGGGCAGGCAGCCTAAGCTCCACACACACCTCCACATCCTTTCCCGGGTGAATGTGGTCAGATGAAATCCTAGCAAGCACTTTCTCCAAACCTGAATTTTGGGTTAGTTCACCAGAGGAAATCCAGCAGGAGAGGACACTGGACATGATTTGTGGAGCTCAGTTTACTCCTGGCTCCACCACCAGCTCTTCACACGCCCCCGATGAATCCCCTGGGCCTCTCTCTCCAAGACCATGTCTAATAGCAGTACTGCCAGGAATCATCATTTAACTTCACAATCAGGCAGCAAGGAAGGGACTGGCCCCAATTACAGATGACAAAACTGAGGCTCAGGAAGGATGATGAGTCTACTGTAAGGTCACACGGCTGTCCAAATTGCAGCCAGAGTGGTTTCAAAAGTGCACACCTGACCACATCACTTCCCGGTTAGAAACCTTACAGTGACTCCCCAGCTCCAGACTTTTCCACGTGGTTTATACGACCCTGCAGGATGCAGCCCCAGCTCTCTGTGCGGCCTCACTGTTCACTCTCCCTTCCTGCCCAGCTGGAATTTCTTCCCCTTTGTTATATGTCCCACTCTCTCACCTCTGGGCCTTTGCACACCCTTTCCATAGACTCAGAACTCTCTTCCTCTTATGTCCTGCTCATCAAGACTAACTCCTGTTCATCCTTCAGGTCCCCTCATGGATGCTAGTTTCTCCAAGAAGCTTTCTCTGTTCCTCAGCTAGAGTTAGTGCCCCTCCTCTGGGCACCCATTATCCCTTAGACATCCTCTAACGTAGCTTGTGATTAAGTTGTCCCCTGCCTCCCACTGCACTAGGCTGAGCCCACATCTCTCTTAGTCCCTGGTGTGCCTCTCTGCCAGCTCAAGGCCCCGAACACAGTAGGTATTCAGGAACGGATGGGTGGACGGGTAGAAGGAGAAGCAGGGCCTTGTCAGGGCTGCCTGACTCTTAAGCCTGTTCTCTGTCCTCTCTTAACTTTTCCTTGCTCAGCAATGATTGGAAAATAAGGGGGAGAATTAAAGTGGAAAAATATACTGAGCCTTGGCCAGATGGTTCATTTGGTCGGAGTGTCATCTCGTACACCAACAGGTTGCAGGTTCGATTCCTGATTCAGGGCACATAACCTAGGTTGTGGGTTTAATCCCTGGTCGGGATACATACAGTAGGCAACCAATCAATGTTTCTCGTGTTGTTTCTCTCTCTCTCTCTAAAAATCAATAAAAATCAGGTGAGGATTAAAGAAAAAGAAAGAAAAATATACTGAGATCTTTAAGGCTGAAGTTATTTAACCAGCAAGTATTTGTTACTCCTCTTAATATGCAGAATAGTTTCTTACACTTGAAAAGGTGTTTTGTTTTGTTTTGTTTTTAATCCTCACTCAGTATTTTTTCCAGATTTTTAAAGAAAGTGGAAGGGAGGGAGGGAAAGAGAAAGAGAGACATTGATGTGAGAGACATCAATTGGTTGCTTCCCACATGTGCCCCAACTGGGGCCAGGGATCAAACCTGCAACCCAGGTACATGCCCCTGATCAGGAATCAAACCCATCACCCTTCAGTCCGAGGTCCGATGCTCTAACCACTGAGTCAAACCAGCCAGAGCAGGACTGAAAGGTTTGAGTGGAGCCTCGGCTCCAATGGTGTGGGTGGGAATAGAAGCTGTCTACATCCAGGATCCAAACTCCTGACCATAGTTTGCAAGACCCTGTGATCAGGCCCATGCCCACCTCTCCAACCTCATGTCCTACTTCTTTGCCCCCTTGCTCTCTGTGCTTCAGCTGTTCCATCCTTTGTTCTATGTCTTGAACACACCTACTCTTCCAACTCGGCCTCTACACCGGCTCTTCTCTGCCTGGAATGCTCTTCCTGTGGCTGTCCCCCTCTCGGCTGCAGTGTCTGTCTTCAGAGGTCTTCCTGAGCACTGCGGCTGCGGTTGGCCTCTAGCTGCTCCTGCCACTTCCCCTGTCCTGGCCTAGCACACCGCTCTGAGATTCTCATTGACTTATTTGATTGCCCTTTGATCTGCTATCTCCCTGATTTGAAATAAGCACATGAGGGTGGGGGCTGTGTCAGACCTGCTCACTGACCTACCCTAGTGCCCGGCCCATAGATGGCAGCTCAGTAATATCAATTGAATAAATGAGTGAACTGTTTGGCCCCCTGGAGCAGGCGCCCCACTCTTATTCTTGCCTTTGGTTTCATGGGTCCCTGGTCTCCTTCTGTGAGTATGGGCCCCAGGTATCCTGGCCCACGTTCTGTTCTCCACCCCCGTACCCCCAGGTGCCCCTCCAGCTCCTCCTTCCTGCTGGTCTCTGGCTGCCTGCCTCTCCAGAGACTTATGCATCCCCTGCTTCCCGAACTACCAGCCTATGAGTCCCCTCCCTTGCCTGCCGTGGCTCTCCACTGCCCCCTTCCTGCACTGAGCAGCACCAGCTTCACTGGCTCCACATCGCTGAATCAGGCTTTCACCTAGGCCAGTGGTTCTCAACCTTCCTGACGCCGCGACCCTTTAATACAGCTCCTCAGGTTGTGGTGACCCCCAACATAAAATTATTTTCGTCGCTACTTCATAATTGTAATTTTGCTACTGTTATGTCTTAGGCGGCCCCTGTGAAAGGGTTATTCGACCTCCAAAGGGGTCGCGACCCACAGGTTGAGAACCGCTGTCTAGGCGCTTGCTCCCCTGCCCACCTTCAGGTTTTGATTGAGGACTAACCAGGAATGTGTGTCAGATAGCCACCCTGCCTCAGCCCTGCTGGCCAGAGAACCCAGGGGCATTGACACCATCCCCGTCTTCCCACAGGTACGTCTCCTGTGTGCTTGGATGCCCCTACGAAGGGAAGATCTCCCCCGTCAAAGTAGCCGAGGTGTGTGTCAGGGCGGGGGTTTTGTGAGGCTTGGCTACCTTGCCTGCCCCTGAGTACATAGGTTCCTCTCCCCACCCTTTCCCGCTGGGTCATGGACTTCTTTCATGTCCCTGCCCTCTACCCCAGAGTGAATGCCTCCAGTTGAGTTTCCATTCTGGTCAGTGGACAGGCGATCATTGAAGAGATCATCCTTTTCAGAGAGGCTCCTCCCCCAAAGGTTCCTGTGGCTCCTATCCTTGTGGTCGAAGCCACTTCACATTCTCTGAGCAGCAACCAAGTCAGCCCTGAGAAGAACAGTGTAGGAACTGACTCTGAGCAACGCAAGAGCTCGTGGCATTTATAAATGTCCTCAAAGCCAACCTGCAAATTCGGTCTTGTTATCCCATTTCACAGTTGCGGAAACTGAGACTAACTAACTTGCCACGCAGTTGCCACCAGGTCTCAGACCCCATCTTGTTCCCTCCAAAGCCCGCTTGCTGTTCCCTCATCACCATGTATCATCCAGAAGTGAGAAATTATAGCCGTCACATCTGCCAGTGGGGTGACTGCTGTGCTCCAGGTCTGTCTCCTGCTGCAGCCATAGCCCTTCAGAGGCTCATCACTGTTTTTCAGGAGCAGAAATTGAAGCTCAGAAAAGTTGAGCCCCTTGCCAAGGTCCCACAGCTAGTGAGCAGCAGAACTGGGATTTTAATCCAGCGTCATCTCACTCCAAAGCCACTCCTGCAGCTGCACCCTCTGCCCCGCAGGCTGCTGGGCTCCTGTCACTCTCACCATTCCCTCATGTGGCGGACCACTGCTGAGTGTCTTCTGGGTCCCTGGCCCCACCATTTCCTTCCTCTACCTTCTCGGCAGCACAGTGTAGGCATCTCCTTGGCCCAGGCATACACTGCTCTGATTTTGCAGTGATTTTAGGGGTTTGCAAATGGGCTTCTAAAAATTTAAATAGTTATGTACTTCTATAAAAAATATAAAGCTAGCACCTGAGACTCATGATTTCACAGATCTTACTGAAGATAAAGCTACAAAAAGGGTTCAGTTTTACTGATTCCAGTATCTGAGTCTGACAGTGTGTGAGGTGGTAAGGGAAGGACTGGAATTCGAGACACGGGGTGGGAGGAAAGCACAGGGGTTAGAGCCCCAGAGCCTGCCCCTCATGTCCCAGTCTCCTGATGAGAAGAATGAGGAATATCATTCCACTCAAAGCTGTAAGGAGCCTTTGATCTGATTGATTTAGTGCTCAGACATGGAGGAGGTGTTCTGACAAGCCAAGGACCCCTGCTTCTGAGCTCTTGGACCTTGGCTTGGAGAATCTGATGTCCTCCAAGTGTCTGCTTGTTTTCCCAGGTCAGCAAGAGGATGTACTCAATGGGCTGCTATGAGATCTCCCTGGGGGACACCATCGGCGTGGGCACCCCTAGGGCCATGAAGGATATGCTGTCTGCTGTCATGCAGGAGGTGCCATTGACTGCCTTGGCTGTCCACTGTCATGACACCTATGGCCAGGCCCTGGCCAACACCTTGATGGCCCTGCAGGTAATCTGGACATGTCCTAAGAGAGAGGCATGTCCATCTCCCATCAGGACAGCTGTGTTTTGTCTGTGCTTTTAGCCAGCCTTCACTGTGCCGAATGTTGGCACCTGTGTGCCAGGCCCTAGACTAACCATAATGGACACAGACATGACCTCGTCCCAAAAGTTCTTACAACTGTGTGTTAGAGGCAACAGCGAGGGACTTAGGTGATCATTTTAATGCATTATGACAAATGCTATGAAGGGAGGAAGCATGGGGCTGAGGAAGGTCCCCATCCCAGCTGGGAGGTCAGAGAGGATTTGCCAGAAGAGGCCTGAGTGAGGCCTAAAGGACGTGAAGAAGTCCAGCGGTTGGACAAGGGAAGCAGCAGGTGGCTCAGCAGCACTGCGCTGTACGAGTGAAGTGGGGTTCAGGGAGGACTCACGTACCCTGGCCCTGGAGAGCACGCGGGTTGTGAGTGCGCACACGCCGCTGCGTGGGAGCAGAGGCAGGAGGCAGGCAGAGGGCAGGGAGAGCCTTGAATGCTGCTCCCCAGAGATTGCACTGAGACCTCAGATTGGGTTTCCCTTGAGGTTTGCTCCTTGTGGGCTGGCCCATATGAGGAGTCCATGTCCTGGCTGCCCATCAGAAGGAAGGTTCTCAGTGTCTGACCACAGGCTACCTTGCTGTAGTGTTAGTCTGAGTCCACCCTGTTGTTTTAGGTTAGCTAGAGCATTCTTGGGCCACATTTTTTTCACTCAAGTTATCCCCTAGCTCATGTCTCAAATGATTCTATTTCTTTCTGGGTCTACTTTCTCAGAGTTGTGGTTGTCCAGATTAAGGTCTGTGAGAGGTTTAAGGAGAGGAGAAAGCGAAACAGTCATCTAGGTGAGTGGGAAATGACTGGCCTAGGAAAGTGGCCGAGGTCCCCTGGGGTTAGAGCCGTCTTGCAGGGGAGGGGCGCATAAATGAATCGCAGTAAACCACAAGGATCTGAAATCTCAACAGTGGGAGGTCAGTGATCCAGAAGGGCCTTTCTGAGGAGGTGGCATGTAGGCTGAGACCTTAAGAGTGATGGGGCCCTGGCTGGTCGCTCAGTGGTTAGAGCATCGGCCCGTGGACCAATGAATCTCGGGTTCGGTTCTGGTCAAGGGCATGTGCCTCTATTGCAGTTCATCCCCGGCCCTGGTTGGGGTCATGCGGGAGGCAACCAGTCGATGTGTCCCTCTCACATCGATGTTTCTCTCTCCCTCTCCTTCCCTCCCACTCTATCTGAACAAAAATGAAAAAAATATCCTCGGGTGAGGATTAAAAAAAAAGTGGCCCTGGCCAGTTTGGCTTAGCAGTTAGAGTGTTGGCCCTCGGACTAGAGAGTCCCGGTTCGGTTCCCACTAAGGGCATGTACCTCAGTTGCAGTTTGTCCCCAGCCCCGGTTGGGGTCGTGTGGGTGGCGACCACTCGATGTGTCTCTCTCACATCAATGTCTCTCTCTCTCTCTTCCTCTCTCCCTCCCACTCTATCTGAAGATGAATGCAAAAATGTCCTCCAGTGAGGATTAAAAAAAAAAAAAAAAACACAAAGAGTGATATGGAACCTTGAAACCATTCAGGAACTGAGGGAGGATATCCCTGGCAGAGGAAACGGTATGCACCAAAAAGACTCACACTGGCCCAGGAGCTGAAAAGAGAAATTCTCTCTTTCAATGGGATTTTCACTGTAACAGAATCATACACCAAAGGAATTAATAACTCGCAGTGGAATTTCAGGCAGCAGACAGGAGATTTATAAGGACCCGCTTTGTCGGCTCTGGTCCCCACAGTGACAGCCTTGTTTCACCATCCTTATGTTTCCAGATGGGAGTGAGTGTCGTGGACTCTTCTGTGGCAGGACTTGGAGGCTGCCCCTACGCACAGGGGGCATCAGGAAACCTGGCCACCGAGGACCTGGTGTACATGCTGGAGGGCTTGGGCATTCACACGGTAAGCCTCTCTGCCCGCTGTGGCCACTGCCCGGACTAACAGAGCTCTGCCTGCAGCCAGAGGACAGGAGCCGATGGTTTGTTTGGGGTCATTGGTTGGAGTGTGTGTGGAGGGGGAGGGAGGGAGGGGTAGCAGTTAAGAGGGAAGAGTGCCAGGGAATTACTGTGTATTTTCAAGATAGCAGAGTGTAGCTGATCAAGGCCAGACTCTCAGTATGAGTTTGACAGTTTAGTTTAAGGAGGCACCGAGGTGTAAGGAGAGCGCCCCCAAAGTATTAAAAAAAAAAGTACAAATTGGTTGTTACAGAATAGTCATGGGGATGTAAAATACAGCATAGGGAATATAGTTAATAATATTGTAATAACTGTATGGTGCCAGGTGGGTACTTGAAATATCGGGTGGACCCCTTTTAAGGTATATGATTGTCTGTCTGCTATGCTGTACACCTGAAACTAATACAAAATAATATTGAATGTAAACTTTAATTAAAAAATAAAATGAGTCCAGCCAGTGTGGTTCAGGGACTGAGCATCAACCTATGCACCAGGAGGCCCCCAGTTCGATTCTCAGTCAGGGCACATGCCCAGGTTGCAGGAGGCAGTCGATCAATGTTTTTCTCTCCATCTCCCTTCCACTCTCTGAAATCAATAAAAACAGATTATAAATAAATAAATAAATTTTAAAAATGAAAAAGAATCTTTTTAAAAAACATTGGGGGAAAAAACCCTAGTCCTGCCACTCACAGCCTGTGTGACCTGACAAATTACTTCATGTCTCTGGGCCTAATGGGAATAATAATAGCACCTATTTTGTAGGGCCATTTTGAGGGTTAAGTAAGAAAATGTAGAATGCTTAGCCCATAGTATACACATCAGTAAATAGGAGCTATTATGTATACAGGTTTTCTGGAGTGGCTCTTTCAGTTGGTGTTTTCACTCGGCCTCACAGTTCATCACTTCATTATGCAGTCTCTGACCACTGTGGACCAGGCTTGTGCTGGGCCCTGGAGATGGGGGACTAAACAAGACTGATGAGATGGATCCCTATTCGGCCAAACCTGCCCGAGCAATAGATCCCTATTCTGGTGGTGGCACTACAAACCATAACAGATTGAGGCATCCCACACAACAGGAGTCAGAGGAGAACCCAGATGCCACAAGGACATGACCTCACAGGCAGCTAGCTGGTGTCCATCACCAGAGTAACAAGAGCCTGTCCGTCTTCACCTTTTTCTTTTCATTTTTTTTTAAACTTTTATTTTAGAGAGAGGAAGGTAGAGAGAGAGAGAGAAACATCGATTGGTTGCTGCCCACACACACCCCAACCAGGAATCAAACCTGCCACCTTTTGGTGTATTGGAGGACACTCCAACCAACTGAGCCATCTGGCCAGGCCCACCTTTACTTCTTCAGTATCCCAGTTGTCTGTCCAGCCTGCTGTTTCCCTGGCAGTTGAGGGCATGTCATGACTTAACTGCATTTTCCAACTTGTTTCTCAAAGGGTGTGAACTTCCAGAAGCTCCTAGAAGCTGGGACCTTTATCTGTCAAGCCCTTAACAGAAAAACCAGCTCCAAAGTGGCTCAGGCTACCTGTAAACTGTGAGCCCCTTGCTCACCTGAAGCTCTAGGACTGTGGGAATAGGGGCACGTCTGGATGATTCACTGATGGACACATGGAAATGGGAATGAAATCAACAGGAACAGGCACCTCACTGCCAGGACACCTGAGTGAGAGGCTTTGAATCCCTGAGGACACTTGGGAGTCCAATTCCCTGGCTTGGGTTAATCAAGTCTTATCTCTGCGTGAAATTATCCAGGTGGCTTCACAGCTTAACCTTGTCATGGCCTTCGTGCCTTTGCTCTCTGACTTTGTAGGGCAAAAGGGCATGGAGGGGGCTTTCCAAGTTGGTAGTGGGCAAAGGGGTACAGGCTGAGCTTCTGCATTGGCCACCTGCCAACTCTAGCACCCCTGGAAAATCTCCACTCTGAACATGATTTTTGAAAACAGCTATGTAATTAAAGATTTAATGATGTAGAATAATTCCATTATTCTCCAGATGTGTGTATATATGAGAGTGGGGGAATAAAACATCTTTATTCACACTCTGAGAGGAAAATGCAGACTGTTAATCTCTGGATTTTTCTCCATCTTCCCCCCCTGAGCCCCAGACTCACAGTGACTGGAAATTGGTGGCTTTGAGCTTACCCAGGGCTGACCAGAAAACCCTGGAAAGACCGTTTCTGAGCTCTGGGTCTGACAAGGGCTGTTGCATAAGCTCCCCTGCAGGCAGCAGTGGCCATGTGCTCCTCTGGGTCTGGGCTAGCAGGTCTGGGTACCTTAGCTCTTTTATTTTTATTTTTCTTATGATTTCTTTTGTAAATGTTTTGGGGTTTTTTTGTTTGTTTGTTTTTTATCTTCACCAGAGGACATTTTTCCATTTTTTGTTCAGGTAGAGTGGGAGAGAGAGAGAAACATTGACGTGAAAGGGACACATCGAGTGGCTGCCACCCGCACGACCAACCAGGGCCGGGGACAAACCACAACCGAGGTACATGCCCTTAGCAGGAACCAAACCCAGGTCTCTCTGGACCGCAGGCCAACGCTCTAACCGCTGAGCCAAACCGGCCAGGGCTTGTAAATGCTTTTTTTAAAATTGATTTTAGAGAGGAAGGGAGAGGGAGAGAAACATCTATGTGAGAAACAGATGAGTTGCCTCCTGCACACACCCCACCCAGGGACTAAACCAGCAACCTGGACATGTGGCCTGACCTAGAATTGAACTGGTGACCTTTCTGTACACAGGATGATGCTCAACCAACCGAGCTATGCCCGCCTACCTTAGCTCTTTGTTCCTTGGGCTCTGCCCACTGTCAGCTGTCCTTCGCAGGCCTAGTGCATTCCAGGTTTGGGAACAATTGTGTATTTATTTCTTCGCTCAGGTGTCATCACTCAGTATGCCATGCCCTTATACACACTCCTTAACCCTACTTTCTTTTTTTATCCTCACCTGAGGACATTTTTCCATTTTTTATTCAGAGAGAGTGGGAGGGAGAGAGAGGAAGAGAGAAACATCGATGTGAAAGGGACACACTGAGTGGCTGCCTCCTGCAGGGCCCAACCAGGGCCAGGGACAAACTGCAACCGAGGTACGTGCCCTTAGTGGGAACCGAACCCAGGTCTCTTTGGACCGCAGGCCAACGCTCTAACTGCTGAGCCAAACAGGCCAGGGCTACTTTTATCTTAAATAGAAACATAAACATTTTTAAACCACTGTGGTAGGCAGGGTGCAGACAAACCATTCCCAGCAGCTGGGGGCCACCGTTTGAAGGCCAAGCGCAAAAGGCACATAACTCCTACTTGAGCTTCACAGTTCCCTCCAGTTTATAGGTTTTCCAACTACCCTCCCATCAGCATCGCCCCTTACTGCCCTCCGGCAGTTGTGTATTCATGCACTGCTCACCCTGAAGAAAGGGTTTGGCAGAAACAGAAAGGCTGGGCCCTGGCTGGTTTGGCTTTGCAGTTAGAGTGTTGGCCTCCCACAACCAAAGGGTGGATGGATTAGATTCCGAGTCAAGGACACATACCTGGGTTGCAGGTTCCATCCCTGGCCCCCATTGGGGTCCTATGAGAGGTAACCAATGGATGGATGTAGCTCTCACATTGATGTTTCTCTCTCTTTCCCACTCTACGTCAATGGAAAAATATCCTCGGGTGAGGATTAACAACATAAAGTTGGAATCCCTGCGGAAGCCGTGGCCCCACTCCGCTACAGAACAGCTGCCCTGCGCCTACAACAAACCCTTCGCCTGCTTCCAGGGGTCTGGGTCGCGCGCTCGCGCCTGGAGCGTACCGGGGGCACCCATCAAAGGAGCGGACCTCTGCCGCTTGGCTTGCTGCCCTCGGCTGGCTTCTGGAAGAACGCGCTGCGCAGGCGCCCTCCACCCGCAGATTCTTTTGTCCTTCCCGCGCCCTGTAGTGGCGTGTCTCGATTGACACGTTCGCTGAGGCGTGGAGAGGGCGGGACCAGGTGGACCGTCAGCTCTTAAAGGGACCGAGGCGGCAGGGGGCAGCACCACTGGTGGCGAGGCGGGGCGTGCGATCCCAAGCAGGTTCGGGAAGGGAGTGCGAGGCTGGACGGGCGGGCTCGCGAGGGGCTGGGTGGTCCACGGGGAGTGAGGGAGAGTTGGGGGCCCCGGACTGCGTTCCGGCAGAGTACCGCCAGGGCCAGCCCCCATTGCGCCCAGTTCCCGCTGCCAGGGCTGGGGTAGCCCGGGGTCATTCATTCCCAGCTTGAGGTCTCCTTGCGCGGCTCCCTCCTAGCATTGTCCCAAATTGCTGCCGGAGACCCAGTGCCCCTCCCATCCGTTATGCATATGGGAAAGCCGAGGAGGCGAAGCTGACCTGGGTCGTCCCGCCGGCCCACCTTCCTGCCTCCCGGGGCACTCTCCGCGACCACTTTCCGGGTCGCACAGTGCGTGGCCCTCGGGCGGGGGTGAGGGCGAGGTTTCGGCATCCGGAGGAGAGTCCAGCGGGAAGCAGTCGGGGAAGGGCGAACTGCCTGCCGAGGGGCTGGCCTGGGCGCCTGGAGATCCGGGCTCGAGCCCAGCTATCACAGGTCAAGTTTCTTCACCTCTCTGACTTTAGTATACTTGTCTGTAAAGTGCCAGTGATAATACTTGCTCCATCAGGGTGCTGGGAGAATTCGGGAAAATAATGCAGAAGTGCCCGGTACACCGAGGGCGCTCAGCCAAGTTGGTTGGGCTGGATGAGCCCAGGAGGCAGTTGAGGCAGCCTGGAGGAAGGCGGCTGCGGGCCAGGCCGTCCCGAATGAAAGGCCTCAGTGTCTGGGCTTCCTCCCCCTCCACCGCCCTGTGCCAAGTTTGTTCAGGGCGGGGTGCACACCTTGCAGTGGAGTGGGGGCCAAGGCCACGTCTACACCAGCCAGCTCTGTGTGGACCAGAGTTGGGCGGGATCCTAAGCTCCAAACCCAGTGTGATCTGGCTGGCCCTGGCAGAGGCAGAGGCTGAGCCAGCCTGGCTGGCCTGGGTGGGGTGGGGCCAACTCCAGGACAGCAGTGCTGCAGCCCCAGAGCCGGACACAGCCTGCCTGGCAAAGGACCCCACCTTAAAGCCATCTGGTGTATTCCTGTTTCCTCCCAGCTCACCCTTGAGAGAGAATAAGTCAGGGGGGCTCTGCCACCATTCCGTGTAAACTGGCAAGAACCCAGGAGCCAGTTCTCACCTAGTGGTGGCAGAAGGACTGGGAAGGCCGAGTCTGAGTCAAGAGCCCTTCCTGGGCTCTTAGAGTCCCAGTGCTGCTGCTGTACTTGCGTCTGCCCAGAACTGTCCAGTTCCCAGATACCTTGGGGAAGTGTGAAGCCTTAGATTCCATCTTCCCAACCCGGGGTCAGTTGGGTCTAGAAAATAGGGCACCTGTGTGGGTCTCCCCACCCAAACCATGTGGCAGGCCTTTAAATCACCTCAGTGATCCCTTACACTGTCATATGGCACTTGTACAATTATTATAAGTTCCATGTTATAGAAATGGAAACTGAGGCCAAGAGAAGGTAAGTGATCTCCAAGGCCAGAAAATGATGGTATCCAGACTTGGACCAGGGCTGACTCCAGAGCCACCCTATTAACTAGGACACACTGCTGCCTCCCTCCAAGGCCAGACTTCAGTTGGAAGGAGGCCCTGAGTGGCCAGCCTCAGCCACCTCTGAGACTGTGTCCTCGGCCAGGTGCAATGGCAGAGAAGGTGTTGGTGACTGGCGGGGCTGGCTACATTGGCAGCCACACAGTGCTGGAGCTGCTGGAGGCGGGCTATTCACCTGTGGTCATCGACAACTTCCATAATGCCATCCGTGGTGAGTGTGGGCAGGGGGGTCTGGGGCTTCTGGAGAGGACGGAAGGAAAACCCTGGGTTCCACTTCCAAGGGGTGTGTGTCTGCCTAGTCTCCAGGCCCCATCTCCTCTGATTTTGATGGCCTCCATGTGCCCAACCAGGAGGGGGCTCCATGCCCGAGAGCCTGCGGCGGGTTCAGGAACTGACAGGCCGCTCTTTGGAGTTTGAGGAGATGGACATCTTGGATCAGGCGGCCCTGGAGCGTCTCTTCAAGAAGGTGGGGGCGTTGGCCCGTAGGCAGGGCCACTACTAAGGGCCAGGGCCTGTAAAGCAACCTCTGACGCAGGCTCTTTCCCTGCAGCACAGCTTTACGGCTGTCATCCACTTTGCGGGGCTCAAGGCCGTGGGCGAGTCAGTCCAGAAACCTCTGGATTATTACAGAGTTAACCTGACAGGAACTATCCAACTCCTGGAGGTGAGGCATGGCACAAAGACACTGGGGGGGCCAAACACAGTGGGTAAAGGGGGGCAGAGTCAGGCAGGGCCCAAAGCTGTTTCATCTTGGACACATATCTTTCTTTACCTCTCAGCCTCAGTCTCCCCATCTGTAAGTGGGAGTGCCCGTACCTCAGCCCCACCCATCTGTGAAGGCATAAGGGGCTGGGCGTAACGTGTGAGGTGGAGGCCACTGACACCTCCCCCCCACGGCCAGATCATGAGAGCCCACGGGGTGAAGAACCTGGTATTCAGCAGCTCAGCTACTGTGTATGGGAACCCCCAGTACCTGCCCCTGGACGAAGCCCACCCCACAGGTGGCTGTACCAACCCCTATGGCAAGTCCAAGTTCTTCATCGAGGAAATGATCCGGGACCTGTGCCAGGCAGACAAGGTGAGGGACCCCTTGACCCAGCCCTGGTTCTGCCCCTGTAAGCCTACAGATGGGATCCTGAGCAACCCCCACCAAGGAGGAAGCTAGGGCTCAGGAAATGGCTGTGACTGCCCAAGGTCACAGCACCTGGGGGAGGCCTGATCCCAGCTTCTTTCTAGGGATAAAGAACGGGCATAAGGGGATAAGAGAGGTAAAGGACTCTGAAACTGGGACACAGCCTGTACCCCACCCCCATCACCTGACCCATGTCCCACAGACCTGGAATGCAGTGCTGCTGCGGTATTTCAACCCCACGGGCGCCCATGCCTCGGGCTGCATTGGTGAAGATCCCCAGGGCATCCCCAACAACCTCATGCCCTATGTCTCCCAGGTAAGGGAGGAGGGGAAGTCAGGGACTGCCCTAGGGTTAAGGGGAGAGTTGGTGTTGAGGGCCTGGGAAGAGCTGACCTGACCTCCACCCCAGGTGGCGATTGGGCGAAGGGAGGCACTGAATGTCTTTGGCAATGACTATGACACAGAGGATGGCACAGGTGAGCCCAGGATCAGGAGGATCCAGGAGTGGGAGTCAAGAGGGACACTGACGTGGGATAGACTGTACTGAACCCTCCCACCCAACCAACTCCTCTACAGGCGTCCGGGATTATATCCATGTGGTGGATCTGGCCAAGGGCCACATCGCTGCCCTGAGGAAACTGAAGGATCAGTGTGGCTGCCGGGTAGGGAGAGAAAGATGCGAGGGAGGGAGAGAAGTGGAGTTTTGGGCAAATGGGGCCCAGAGGGGTCATTAGTCCAGCCCCCATCCATAATACCTGTTCTCTCCCGGGCAGATCTACAACCTGGGAACAGGCACAGGCTATTCGGTGCTGCAGATGGTCCAGGCCATGGAGAAGGCCTCCGGGAGGAAGGTAGGCCGTCTGCCGTGCCCCACCTGACTCGCAGCGGTAGACCTGGCCCTCCCACTAGCCTCCCTGAGGAGCACAGCCACATCTACTCGCCTGCCGTAGTGCTAGGAGCCTGGGAGAGATATCCTGCCTGCACCTCCATTTCTTGAGGTCAGCTGCTGGCTGGGTGAGGCCAGGGCTGGCTCAGCTAAGCTATGACTGTCCCCTCTCTTGCAGATCCCATACAAGGTGGTGGCACGGCGGGAAGGTGATGTGGCTGCCTGTTATGCCAACCCGAGCCTGGCCCTCCAGGAGCTGGGCTGGACAGCAGCCTTAGGGCTGGACAGGATGTGTGAGTGCTAGCCTGACCCCGGGAGAGAGCTAGGGGCCCGAAGGGGCTGACTGGGACTGGCAATGCCTACACTGGGCTACCAGAGGGGTGGAGGCCCTGCATTCCCACGTGGACCCTGACCACACACCCCGCCCTGTCACAGGTGAAGATCTGTGGCGCTGGCAGAAGCAGAATCCTTCAGGCTTTGGCACACAGGCCTGAGACCCTCCTACCGTGGACCAGAAAAGGAAGTGAGAAACAACTCCTCTCCAGCACCTGGGAGGAATCCAGGGGCCTCAGCCTGCCCTACCTCAAGACCAGCCAGGCTCACTCAGCCCACAGGCATGAGGCCTAGGGCTCCACTGATCAGGAGTTGGGGTCTCTAACTCTCCTCTTCCACAGGATCTGAGAACCCATCAGGATCAATGTGAGCAAGCAGGGGAGGCAGGGCCCTGAGACAAAACACCCCGCTCCCAGGCACTAATTTATACTGCTATGAAGGCACTCTCTGAAGTATTTAAAATAAAAAGGTTTCTTACACTGGACCATTTGCTCACACATGGGCTCTCCCTACTGCTTGAACAGAATCAACGAGGCCTGAGAGTTGAAGTAATTTCTTTAATTTTATCGGAATCCAGGACACAACAAGAAAAACGCCCGAAACCACATAGAGACAGAAGACGAGACACAACTCCTCCCCCACCTCCCCTGGCCCTTGAGTGGGGACAACGTGGGGGTGACACAGCTCGGGGAGACCTTGAGCCTCAGTCCAGCCCTGCAGGCTCCAGGCCTGCGGGGGAGGAAGGGAATGGGGAGGCAGGGTCCAGCCCCCACGTTAGAAAGGGCTGATGGCCCCTCCAAGGACTCTGCCCTCACTAACACTTCAGCCCAGGGCAGGCAGCCCACGCAGCAAGGGGCCGGGAGTCATGGACACATTCATGATTGAGAAGCAGCTGGAGTGGAGGCAGGAGAGACACACGATTATCTGGGCAGAATCAGGTGGGAGGGGTTGGACGGGGCCTGTGAGGGCCCCTTGGGCCAAACCCTGAGGTCACAGGAGGGGCCCAAAGCGGGGCTAGTGAGTGAGGTCCTGAGTGAGTGGGTCAGCGGCTGGGCCCCTTCTCCCGCTGCCTACAGCCCCTCCAATACTGCTGCCAGGGGCCCCCTCTAGGGAAATGGGAAAGAAAGCAGCCCAACCCCTGCTGCAGACAGCCAGGTGGCTCAAGCCAGGAAGAAAGGCCTGGCTAGACCTTGGCCCGCCTGCCCCAGAGGCCTGTGGGAAGAGATGGGTCAGGGATGGTGGGGACAGGGGCTCGACCGGCTCAGATCCAAGATGGTGCCACGCGTGCTGGGTCCCGTGAGCTGGGGGACTGCACTGGGGGCCAGCAACTCTGGTTAGACAGGAGGTAGCAGCTTCTCAAGAAACTCCTTCACAGCTGCCATCTCCTGGAAGGGAGGGGAGACTGTGAGAGGCTCCTGGCTGAGGGAGGAAGGAGAGGGGTAGGAGCAGAAAGGGGCCCTTCACCACTGACCTGAGGACAGGAGCCATGCATGACACCTGGGTAAGTCTTGAACTGGACCCTGGCAGGTGTGACAACAGACCGCAGCTTCTCAGCCGTCAGGGCCCCAAACCGTACTGGAACCATGGGGTCCAGCTCCCCATGGCACTGAAGGATGGCCAGGTCCTTGGCACTGCCGTTGGCTGCCTGTGGGCCGGACAGGACTCAGGGCAAAACCAGTGCTTCAGCACAATTCCCACGCCACACGGAGACTCAAAGGGCAGGACAGGGGTCATGGAGACACTCACCTGGGGGAAGGCCCGGTGCAGAGGCAGCCAACAGCTCAATGCCACAATGCCAGCCAGAGGGTGGGGGCAGGTGAGGGCTGTGTAGAGGGACAGGGCCCCACCCTGGAGGAAGGAGAGAATGAGAAGTCATGAGAGCATAGCTCACCTACCCACCACCCACCACCTTCTCTCTCCCCTCACCTGTGAAAAGCCTCCCAGGACGATCCGATTGGCAGGGATCCCATTCTTCATCTCGTGCTCAATCAAGGCCTTTACTAGAGGGAGGGGCATGACTGGGTGAAGGGAAAGCGGCTGGAGGGGCCCCAGGAAGAGAGCCAGACAGAGGTACTACCCAACTCTTTTCTAGAGGAAGTAGGGGAGGAGGGAGCATGCTGAGGAGGGGCGGAGGCCTTACTGTTCTCTGCTGCCTTCTTGATGCCAGCCTCGTCCTCAGGGGCATCTGGACTCAGCCCCATCAGGTCAAACCTGGGAAAGCAGAGGCATTGGCAGCTACAGGAAGACCGCAGCAAGCCCCCTACAGCTCCGTCAGCTCCCATTTCCCCACTCTTCAAACTCACCAGGAGGGCATCACCATCTTCATGTTGAGTGTCACAGGGATCCGAGGCCTGGGGAAAACAGCAAGAAGGGCCATCATGCTCCAGAGAAATGAGGAAGCCATAGCACTGAGCCCAGGAGGGGGCAGAGCAGCCCCTGGGGCCCGCTCCCAGCAGGCAGGGCCTGTGTTTAAGTGTTGCTAGGCAACCTGCCACGTGGGACTGGAAGCTGTGGTTAAAGCTTCGGCAGCAGAGATGGAGAAGCAGAGCCCAAACTCAGCTTGCGGGGTTCCAGCTCATTCGGTGAGTACTTGGGGAAGGGGAACAGGGGGTCCTAGTTCTAGGAGGTCTCAGATCTAGGAGGCCTGGGGCTAAGGGCTGGGGCTGGACCCCATTCCTGGGGGTACCACAAGAGTAAAGGCTGAAAATGGCACTTCTGACTGCCCTGGGCCCAGGCCCCAGGGTGCAGCGGGCAGGAGAGAACAAGCCTGGGACCACAGGATTAACCCCCCAGCTGATTCCCATCCTCAGCCCCTCCCTTGCTAGGGTGACACTCACGCATGGGGACAGATGTACTTGACGTGAGGAAGCCGGATGGTGGAGAGGGCGTCAGCCCAACTGTGCCTGTAGGAGGAAAGGGAGAAAAGGCAACAATGTGGAGACGGAGAAAGGGAGGGCACAGGCCTCTCCAGCCCTGCCAACCGGGCTGGTGCCCACCTCCCCTGGGAATACCCACTGCCCAGTTCACTCACCCTGTGTCTCCAAGTCCATGTAAAAAAATAACCTGGAAAAGGATCAGAGATGGGCAGATGGAGAAGAGGGCAGTCATCATCTTGCTATCATTACTTACTGTCCTCCAACTTTGGGCCACCCCTTCCCCAGGGACCTGGGGGGGGACTGAGGCAGCAGCTAAACAGTATCACCACACCCACCTCCTGGCTCTAGGCTGCTCGCTTCTCATCACTGTCGACTCCATTTTTCCCACACCCCCTCCAGCCAGGGCCCCAGCGGGCCTGGGGGATGCCGGGGTGGGCAAGGACCCTTACCGCAGCCGTTTCCCGCTCAGCTCCAGACACAGTGGCAGCATCGGTGAGCAGGGGCACAGACATGGTGTTACCACACATACACTGCAGGGCTCCAGGCTGGGGCCTGTGAAAATTCAGGGGAGTGGTCAAGAGCAAGCCCAGGCAGGGAACAGACTCCTGACACAGGGGCAGAGTCTCGAACCCAGGGCCCACCCAGGCCATCAGCCCCACACAGCACCCCAGGTTCCGTCCTGGGCACAAAGAAAAGGCAAGGAAGAAGTCCCGGAAAAGAGCAGGTAGAAAGTTTGCCTCTGTTCCAGAGATGAGAAGCAGAGGTGCCCCCTCTAGTGTCCCTGGTTCTGGCCACCACGCAGCCTGAGCTTGCTAGAGATGAGCAAAGGCAGGGCTTAAGGACTGTGGGGGAAGGGAGCCAGGATATCCCCTGCAGCCCCTCCACCCAACAGTCCTCAGTGGTAGCTCCTTCTCCTAGCTCTCCAATCATCCCCCTTCTCTAGCACCCCTGAGTCCCTTCCTCCCCAACTCCTAGCCTTACTGGGAAGTGAAGGGGAGAAAAATGCCAGGGAAATAAGCTTCCACCCCCTACGCGCCCCTCCCCCCCCAACACACATTTTCTCCAACCTCCCTCCCATTCGGCCCCCACCCAGCCTTCACAGCAGTTTCTGGCTTAGCCATTTCCAGAGCCCCTGGGGGCTGCCCATGTCCCCAGAAGGCACAGACTCCAGTCCACCACCCATCTCTTAACTGGTGCCCCACCATCGCCTGAATGGGGCAACTTGCTGCTGCTGCTGCTGCTGCCCACTGACTCCAAATGGGTCCCCCAGCCTGACCACCTCTGAGACTCCCAAACACACAAAACAATGTCAGGCTGGCTAGCTCCTCGCTATCCTTAGCATCCTTCAAACTCCCCAGAAGCTTCTGCTACCTGCCCCTCAGTGCCTACCCCTCCCACCCCCAGTGCACCTCTCCACAGTGGATCCCTCACCTCTTCCCACGCGGGAATACACCCTTCACCACAAGCTGGGATTCCCTTCCTTCCCTACTGAGAGACTTCCACCCCTCACCGGAGTCCCCCCTTCTCAGAGTGGTGCCCCACCCCCGACCTGGGGTCTCCCTCGCTACCATAAAAACTTCCACCCCATCTAGGGTTTCCCACTCCCCACAATGGGAACTTCTGTTCTGACCAAGGGTCGCCCCCTCCCTACTGTGACATTTCCTACTCTGACCCAGGACCCGCTCCTGCCCATAAAGGGGTGTTCTACCTTTGACCCTGGGGGGCCTCCACCCCACAATGGGATCTTCCACTTCGACCCTAAGTCCCTCTCATCACACCCAGACCCCACTTCTTACCCCTCTTTAACCCCAAAGTCCCCAAGACTGGCCAGCACCTCTTCGCACCTCACTCCCCACCCCCATCTTTCACAACTGCGGCTCCTGCTCCCCACGCGCCTGGACCCTCGCCGTGGTCCGATCTCCCCGCGCCCGCCCTCGGCCTGCTGGCCCGGGACCGGGGTACCTCCACTCCCTGGGTGTTCCGAGACCTCTCGGGCGGTTCTCCTCTTTCTCCCGCACAGACACACTCTTCTGCCTCTACCGCCCCCGCCGGAAGTTCCGTTTGAGTCCCGGGAACCCAGCCATCGCGCTACCGGAAGTAGCCTGGCCAGGGGTACGGAACCCGGAAGTGGGCGTCGGGCCTTCGCCAGATTGGAGCTCCGGTGCTGGATACAGCGGAGCCACTCCCCGTAATTAAGCCCCGGAGTCACCTGCAGGATTCAGACAGCGCATCCCAGACTCCCACTGCTGCCACCACCCGTGCGCCTCCTGGAGGAAAGCCACCGGGAGGAGGGGCGTTCTTCACAGGAGCAGAAGTTTCCCACCTTCCCGTCCCCGTGGGCCACACTTCATTTTGGTCTTTGGTATCTACCACCGGCTTTCATGCCCTAATCCAGGATCATGGATGGAACCCTTCCAGATCCTTAGAAACCATCTAGTCCTCCAGTCTTATTTTAAAGATGAGGAAACTGAGGCCCAGGGAGGGGAAGTAAACAGCAATCTCAGGATTACACCGTAATGCTACCTCTCTGCACCTGCTTTCTGGGCTATAAAATGGTGCTAATAACCACCCTGCCTACTTCACAGCTTTGCTAGTGGG